CCAATGTTGGGACACTATTCCTCCCACTGACACCAATGTTGGGGCACGATTCCTCCCACTGACACCAAAGATGGGGCACTATTCCCCCCACTGATACTAATGATGGGGCACTATTCCTGCCACTGATACCAATGATGGGGCACAATTCCTGCCACTGACACCAATGATGGGGTGCTATTCCTCCCACTGACACCAATGATGGGGCACGATTCCTTGCTCTGACACCAATGATGGGGCACTATTCCTCCCACTAATACCAATGATGGGGCACTATTCCTCCTACTAATACCAATGATGAGGCATTATTCCTCACACTGATACCAATGATGGGGCACGATTCGTCGCTCTGACACCAATGATGGGGCACTATTCCTCCCACTGACACCAATGATGGGGCACTATTCCTCCCACTAATACCAATGATGGGGCACTATTCCTCCCACTAATACCAATGATGGGACACTATTCCTCCCACTGACACCAAAGATGGGGCACGATTCTTCCCACTGGTGTGCATTGGAAGAGGGGTAGTCTTATACGGCGAGTATAACCCAAACACTACATTTTAACAGGAAAAGTAAGGGGTCGTCTTATACGCCCAGTCGTCTTATACGCCGGAAAATACGGTATCTTGAATATTTTGGGATGTGGCACCTTTTAACTGCTTCCCCTTTAAGTCTCATTTTCAGCATAGTATAAAAAAGTACTATATATCATAAACCTTTCATTTTTTTAAACATTTTTATTTAAGAAAAAGCAACACAAACATCAAATAAAGACATTAGTACAAAATGTACAGATCTCAAATCAGGTTGCATTTTTACCACAAGATAATGCATGTGATGGTACAGAACATTCATCTAGAAATGGTAGTCCTAAAGACATGTTGTAAATATAATCAAGTGTGCAATTAAGGTTAATCAAACCGCTCATAGTGGATGCCATCAGTTTTGCTTTATAGTCATCATATAGTAATAGAAAGAGAAGAGAAAAAGAAGTCATTGCTTACCGATGTCGGAAAAATTCTGAAACATGTAGTAATGGATTTATTAAAAAGAGAGAGAGGAAAAAAGAAGGGTTAATGTAGATATCATAGAAGGGAAGAAAGGGGAAACTTGAGAGGGGGTGTCACATACCTGTATAGTGAGCCTGCCGTGAAGGGGCAGACCTCCCATACAACTGTGGCTCGAGGACCGCTGATGGTGAGACAGCGACCGCAGGGGCACGGTGGGGTGTGAGTGCCTGTGATCAGCTCAGTAATAGCCAGTAAGCAGATGAGCTGCAGGCCGGAGGCAGGAAGCAAGATACTGATGCAGCCATGCTGGATGGATACCCGAGAGCAGCGTGCTGAGGATGCAGGGTCAGATGAGCCGGGTTCGGTATTGGTCAGGCAGATCAGGCTTAAAGCGGCAGGAGGAAGAGTAGTCGGGTCACAGGCCAGGTCAGCAGCGGAAGATCAATCAGACAGGAGCAGAGACAGAAGAGTAAATCCAAGGCAAGCCAGAGGCTGCCAGAGGCAGGTAGAAGTCAAGCCGAAGTCAGGAACAAGCTGGTTCATTATCAGGAGACAATCACAGAAATCAGGGAACACAAAGCAGGGATAAGACTTTACGGCAATGGGACAACTACGGCAGCCAGTTTAAATAGCCCTTTTGGTGCCAGCATTAGTGAGAGGCACGCACCTGTATGCGCGAGTGCGTATAGGCGTGAGCATGTGTGTGCGCCTATGTCTAAGCACCCACACATCTGTTCCGCTCATAAGAACTCTGCACATGTGCATATTTGTGCGCCATGGAACTTCACCTGCACTATGGGCAGGCCTTTCCTGACAAGGGGTATCGGATGGGGGAGGGGGTATAGATAATAAAAAAAAGTTGGAAGGGAAAGGTGGAATATGGAAAAGGAGATTCCAGGTGTGAGAGAGTCCCTCCTAAGCTGTAGAGGTATACCATAGGTTACTGTAAAGGTTATTTGTCAGGAATATGACCGGTAAGGCATGTAGTAACTTGAATGGGGGTGCTTTTTGAAACCAATGATGGATTTGTATTTTCTTGTATATTGCAAAGAGGCCAAGGCTGTCAAATTGTTTGCTGTGGTGCTTAACCATACACCCTGTTCCAAATTATTATGCAAATTCTATATAAGTGTCACAAAGATGAAATATTTTGTTTTTCAGTTTAACTCATGGATGGCATTGTGTCTCAGGGCTCTTTTGATCACTGAAAACAATCTCGGACACCTGTGATAATTAGATTGGCAGGTGAGTCCAATTTAAGGAAAAACTACTAAAGGACGGTGTTCCACATTATTAAGCAAAGCACCATTTTCAAGCAATATGGGGAAGAAAAAGGATCTCTCTGCTGCCGAAAAGAGTGAAATAGTTCAATGCCTTGGACGAGGTATGAAAACATTAGATATTTCACAAAAACTTAAACGTGATCATCGCACTATTAAGAGATTTGTGGCTGATTCAGAGCACAGATGGGTTCGTGCAGATAAAGGCACATTGAGGAAGATTTCTGCCAGATCCATGCATCGGATCAAGAGAGCAGCTGCTAAAATACCATTACATAGCAGCAAACAGATATTTGAAGCTGCTGGTGCCTCTGGAGTCCCACGGACATCAAGGTGTAGAGTCCTCCAGAGTCTTGCAACTGTGCATAAACCTTCTATTCGGCAACCACTAACCAATGCTCACAAGCAGAAACCGCTGCATTGTGCAGAAAAATACACGAAGACTAATTTTCAAACAGTTCTGTTCACTGATCAGTGCCGTGCAACCCTGGATGGTCCAGATGGATGGAGTAGTGGATGGTTGGTGGACGGCCACCCTGTTCCAACAAGGCTGCGACGTCAGCAAGGCGGTGGTGGAGTCATGATTTGGGCCGGAATCATGGGAACAGAGCTGGTCGGCCCCTTTAGGGTCCCCGAAGGTGTAAAGATGACCTCTGCAAAGTATGTGGGCGTTTATGACTGACCACTTTCTTCCCTGGTACAGAAGGAAGAACTATGCTTTCCGTAATAAATTCATCTTCATGCATGACAATGCACCATCTCATGCTGCAAAGAATACCTCTGCATCAATGACTGCTATGGGGATAAAAGGAGAGAAAGTCATGGTGTGGCCTCCATCCTCCGCTGACCTCAATCCTATTGAGAACCTTTGGAGCATCCTCAAGCAAAAGATCTATGAGGGTGGGAGGCAGTTTACATCCAAACAGCAGCTCTGGGAGGCTATTCTGACATCTTGAAAAAAAATTCAAGCAGAAAATGTCCAAAAACTCACAAGTTCAATGGATGCAAGACTTGTGAAGCTGCTATCAAATAAGGGGTCCTATGTTAAAATGTAACGTGACCTGGTAAAATGTTTGAAAAATTAAAATATTGTTAAAAGTTTGATTGAAATAGCTTTTGATTTCAGTAAATATGCTGCAAACACAACAAATTACAATTTTCAGTTCTTTACAACCTATAAAGTGTTTTGAAACTTACTGTGCGTAATAATTTGGAACAGTGCATTGGAAGTGTTTTATGTTTAAAAAAATCCTGTTATCATTAGGAGGTTTGTTCAATAAAATGTGAATTGTACTCTTAATAGTTGTAACATGAGAATTATGCTGACTCTTATTTACATCAATTATTTAGGTAAATGAGAAAATTATAATTTGCATAATAATTTGGAACAGGGTGTAGAGTCTGTAGTAATAACCCTGGCTTCCTCATTATTAAAGTGGAAGTAAACCCACTTTTGTATCTTTTACCTACAGGTAAGCCTATCATAAAACTTACCTATAGGTAAAATGAATATCTCCTAAACGTGCACCGTTTAGGAGATATTCGCTCTTTTAGACAGCTGGTGCATGCTCTCTGAATGTGCTGTGCTGTTCCTTTAGAGCAGTGGTTCTCAACCTTCCTAATGCCGTGACCCTTTAATACAGTTCCTCATGTCGTGGTGACCCCCAACCATAAAATTATTTACCCAGTAATTATAATTCATGAGAGTCGTTTTACCTCCAATACTGCTGCTTTCAACACAGTAGCTGCTTTTAACAGAGCAGCTGCTTTCAACACAGCAGCTGCTTTCTACACAGTAGCTGCTCTTTACACATCGGAAATATTTGTTTTCTGATGGTCTTAGGGGAACCCTGTGAAAGGGTCGTTCGACCCCCAAAGGGGTCGCGACCCAGAGGTTGAGAACCACTGCTTTAGAGCACTGTGCCATGGCCCGAGACTACCATGTGCATGCGCGGGAGCGATATCATCATGGCTCAGCCAGTCAGACAGCCAGAGCTTGCGAACCCGGAAGGAAGACTGGGTGAAGATGGAAGCCTCTGTAGCGGGGTCAACATACCGCGTGCAGGCTTTGTTTTAAGGTAAGTCCTTCATCATGTGCTAGTATGCAATGCATACGCCTTAAGTGTCATGTTTGTTTTGTTGATCCATTCTGTCAAGGTAGGTGGGTGTGCAGATTTTCAGTGTAATTAGATAAATGTCTTTGCTGCATTTAGCAGATGCAGGGTCAGAAGGCAATGTTATCTGAGAAATGGTCATGTGTTCATGTGAAGAAGGGAGAATTATATGCACTCATTTTTAAATAAAATATGTATTTGGCTTATTTTCATGTTATTATTTTCATCAGTACTGCTGATTTCCTACAGACTCTTTGAAACAACATCTGTCTACAGCCATATATTCTATCGAAGGGCAGGATACCCAATGGGGACATCAGTGGACCATGCTTGCATAGTGTGTGTTTAAATTATCACTTACTGTATATTCTATATCTGAAGCTCAGGAACAGAGCATTTTCATCCTATAGCAATATGTGCCTAAACAAGGAATAGGATTACCAGGCATTATATTTTAAAAGCTGCAGTTCCCAGCCAGGTAAGAGAATGGGGCCAGTGACGTCATTGGTTGTTAAGAATTTGGCAGTGCCTGCTCCTGCCGGTGTCCTTAAAGTGTTACTAAACCCACAACAGTAAAATCAGTCTGTATATGCAGTAAAGCATGCTTGTTATACTCACTGTAGAACCTAAGGGGTTAATCCTCTGCATTGTGTAAAAATTCTGTTTGATCCTGACTTCTATGATCCTCCCCTTCTTCCAGTGTCCCCCTCTTATCTCCTAATAAGACACATCGAGTGGAGACACTCTGCACATGCTCAGTTTGGTGCGTATTGCTGGAAAGGTTTTTTTTTTCTTGGGAGAGTGCATGTGATCAGCACAGGGCCAATCAGCACTGTCCAGACAGAGGTCAGGGGTTATGTATCCTCCTAGAGCAAAAAGAAAACACCTCCTACACGCTTTAACATGTGCTCAGCTGGACAGTAATAGAAGTCACAAGACTGCTCTAACTGCTGATGAGAAAAGGTATTTAGCATTTTATATTTACTAAAATAATTGCACTTCCATGTTCTGTGTACTGTGGGAGACCAGATATAATCCCCCAGACGAAGTACGTTTTACCCTGTGGCGCAACGCGTTGGGGAGGGGAAGTGACGTCACTACGTATCGGATCGACATTACGGTGAGTACTGACGGAGTGTGTTAACATTCCTAAGAGGCTGAACATTACCGCAGCTCACGGTTTTATTTCTATATGCGTGTTGATTTTTAAACAATGTGAGTGCATTATGGGAGCACATTAAACAGTGTTTATTATACCTTGGATGAGGCACCATATTTCTTCATTCTTTTCTTCTATGGGTCATATGAGGATACATAGAGTATTCAAGTGAGGAGAGGCTCTAGGAGGGAGAAAACCTCATGTCTACATAGACTCAGAAGATAGCTCGTAGGTTTCCATCCACATCATCATAAGCAACTGGAAAGGAGAGTATATCACCAACATCTTCTTCCTGCTGAATCCTAAAACTTTTTTGCACATTTTTTCTTTTTTTGCACATTTTTTGCTGCTGAACTTTATGAATTGATTTATTATTTTTTAATTATCTTTATTATTTTATTTATTTTTCACTAATATATATACAATGTATTGCTTGCTTTGCACTATTAGCACATTGGATCATATGAATTTATATTTTTTTATTTATATTTTTTGATTTATTTATATTCAGTTGATTTTCACACTTGCACAGTGAATTTTATGAATTTATATATTTATTTTTAAAGAAATAATCACATTGTATAAATATCATCATTGGATTAAATCATACACTTTTTATTTTTAAGTTTTATTAAGCACTAGGATAATATAATAAGATTAATTCAGGTAATCCAGTTGAAAAATTGATAAAATGATAATACCACAGCATATATGAATTAGTGGTATTGCTTTGGTATTATATAATATATAGTATTGGCACGGTAATATTAGAGCGCGGTTAATTATTTATTTGAGACCAGATATAGTGAATGCAGGGTCCTGGGCTTAGTAACATTTTAACAATCAATGAAAACAGAGATCTGTCATTTAGAATTGGGGTAGTAATTTCACTATTATACATGACTTTTGGCAAACGGGTAAAAGTTCAGGCATTCGTCAGAACACCCAAACAGCCAAGGTTTGGTCCTAGATTGTACTAGGACTGAACCTCAAGCTCATCCCTGTTGGTCATTGCAGTGCCCCTCTGAATTTGTAGTTAGTATAGGAATGACCTTACATTGGTGGTCACTGTAGTGTCCCTTTAGATTGTCAGTCAGTGAAAAAGTACTAATATTGATGATCAGTGTAGGAATGCCCCTCTACGTTGGTGGTCAGTGTAGGAGTGCCCCCTTACTTCAGTGGTCAGTAGAAGCTTACTCCCTCACATGTGTGGTAGTTAGTAGCAAATGTAACCCCTTACATTGTATTTTCACTGGGAGAACTGCCCTCTTTAACTAGAACAGATTTTAGAGGTAATCAGGGGACCTGTTCCTGTTTCTTTTAAAGATCAGTTGCATTTCTTAGGACTGTGTATCTTACTGTAAATATCAACTTATTTTTGGTTGGCACTTGTCAGCAATGGTTTATGAAGGCTGTGTTACTAAAGGAGTCAGGACTCTACACACAATACATTTTCATTTATTCATCCAAAAATCAATCTGAAATGGAAAGCATATTCTTTTTTGATTATTCCTTGTCCACATGACTGGATAATTGAAGTGAACCCTCATACAATTTTATTGCGAGAAGATTTTTAACTTCTTTAGTAAATCAGACCAATTATTTCAATCAATATATAGATGGCAGAGCTTGCCCCAAATACAGAGCATAGGAGGACAGTATCATTTTATTGGGAAGGTGTTTGAAATTCTGTATATAGCCCTACAGAACAGACTGTGACCTAGAGACAGACAATAGGTGCCACTCAAGCTGGAGGTACTAGTCCATGCCAAACCATTCAGTGTTGGCCAGGAACGGAGCTTGTCTTGGTTCCAGACTTAATGTAGCAAAGAGAATGTTCACACGCCGCGCATCGTGAACAGATCCATGTTGAAGAAGTGAGTGGCAGACTCAGCCTGGGCATTGGTCTGTTCACCATGTGTGGCTCATGGACACTCTCTTCCCTACAGAACAGACAATGCACAGTTCACATGTGCTTTTCTGCTTCACTGCAACAAGGAAACAGGAAACTTGATTCAGTGAAAAGACATACAAGAGTTTACAGTATTTGCAGCTACAAACTTATAAACACTCATCTATTGGTTGAAGAATATATCTCTACTGAACACTGATGTAGTTGTTGCACAAAATACATGAACACAGTATTCCAACAGAAGGCACCCTTAGGCTGGCCATACATTATACATTTATCTGGAGATTTTTGGTTTAGATTTACCAAAAACCATATAATAGGAGGACAACCTAAACAACACTTTCAGTTGTTTCCAATTAGGCAGGCCCTTGCACTACACAGTTGAAGGTAAATCTAAAGGAAATTGGGCAGAAAATTGGAAGAGAATTGTATAATGTATGGCCAACCTTACTGTTAATGAAATATTAGCAAGTGTTATGTGAAGAGTCTTTGGGAGGCACATAATTATTTGCCTGCGGAGGCATTGCTCCTATTTCTTATGACCCTGGCTCTGATAAATAATCCTGAAATATGGACACAAAGTAATCAATGAAAAAAAAAAGAAAAGAAGGGAAATAATTTTTCACCATTGTAGTATTTTCAATTTTTACTGTTTTTTAACATACAAAATTTGATGTCATTTTTCACAATAACAAATCTTGGGATCACAAATGGTTGGAGTTTTCATGAAACGTTGTCACTATTCATGTATCCCTAGCATGATCCCTAAATAAAGCTCCTCATGTATATTCTGCTAGTTATAAACCACTTCTGCAATTGTGGTTTTTGGTCTGGTTTCAAGTTATTGCTATAAAAATATATTAACAACAAAAGTAACAATAATGTAAAATATTATTTTGTTTGTGAATTTATCTTGAATTCACTTTACATACAGTCCAGATTGCATTGAACATTGAAAAGAGACCTTATAGCCACTATTGATCCTTGCTTCTGTGCAGAATAATAGGAATTTCCAGTTCAGAATAGAGGGGGCCATGATACATTCCTGCACTCCATCCTAGATGTACAGTACATAGGTTCTAAATATTCCCAGTGATGAAAAGTCTGTGCTACAAAATACAGCTGGTTCTACATCATTTATATTGTGCCTGTGTCAAATAAAAATACAGCTTTAATTTTTTAAAATACCATATACTGGCAGCAATCTTCATATTACATATATTTACATTGATTATTTCATATGGTGACATAATAGAAAGTTTAAAGTAGTTTAGAAAATTAGTCCAGTTATGGAATATACGTCAGTAAAGCATCTATCTGGCTATTCCTACATTCCTACAAATGCGTACTTAAAGAATATACTAATTATAGAGAATTTATATAACTAGATGAAATTCCAAGGTTAAAAGCTGGGTATACTGTATCTGAGATCCAGGCTAAGGCATTAAAGCAGTATGCAATCTACCGAAAAGGGAATTTTAGTGTATGTTTAGCATATTTTAAATCATAATTGCAGTGTTCACCTTAAAGTAATGTGTTTATATGGCTTTCGTATTTTAACAAGCTTGCTCTTCTTTATTTTTGTGATTGTGTTATATATAGAGATTTGTAGACTAACAAGTAGCTGGAGAGTTGAAAGTCTTCCCTTAATATATGTGGCTTTGATGATTTTGAATACACCATCATCGATATACAGATGAAAAAAATAAACAGGAATTTGTTTCTCAAATAGTTGGGGAATTAAAAGGCATATTTTTAACTCATTTAGGAAATCAGCCTCCACGAATCAACCACACAGGAAGCCCATTGTTCTATTTGATGTGAGTCACATGGCGTGATTTACAACACTAAAATAAAAACAAAAAGCGGGGATCAGCAGTTGCAGATGCCAGCTGACCATAGATGGATTGAATGAGCAGGGAACGACTGAAAATTGATCCGTCTAAGGGCAGGCTGGTTGTACTGAAGTTGATCCATTGATCACTTTCAGTACAACCAGCCTGTCAGATTTTTTGTATGCAAAGGATCCTCACCAATAAAATACAATAGCGTTTTGGGAGAGATTCCCCCATCAACACTGACTGTGTTGATGGGGGAATCCAGCAATTTTCTTTTCTTCCACCCATTGTGGAAGGAAAGAAAATTCCATATTCTACAGCTTGCATGCCATTCCTCAACCTATCTGATTGCATACTAATGTTTAATACGTATAGTGTGGTCCTACTTTGCCAGGTGCATTGGACTTCCAAATAGTTACATTTCTGTCATTTACTCTGCACCACAGAATTTACACCCACATTTGTTTTCTAAAAAGCAGTGGTTACAAAGGAAGAGGTAATGTTGACATCTTGTTAAGAAATTTCATATACATGACCGTTAAATGTTAATGTTAATGTTAAATGGTGTGTCAAAAAAAAAAAAACAAAATACAATATGCTGTCATATGAGTCAGCATATATATATTTATTATTATAACTTCAAGGACAAGCATATGAAATATTGTCTGCTAATTGCCTTCATGTACAAACACTACACCCTGTTCCAAATTATTATGCAAATGATATTTTTCTCATTTACCTAAATAATTGATGTAAATAACAGTCAGCATAATTCTCATGTTATCAACTATTAAGAGTACAATTCAAATTTTATTGAACAAACCTCCTAATGATAACAGGATTTTTTTTTTTAAATAAAAAATTTACACTGCAGTGTTCCAAATTATTATGCACAGTAAGTTTCAAAACACATTATAGGTTGTAAAGAACTGAAAATTGTCATTTGTTGTGTTTGCAGCATATTTACTGAAATCAAAAGCTATTTCAATTACACTTTTAACAACATTTTAACTTTTCAAACATTTTAACAGGTCACGTTACATTTTAACATAGGACCCCTTATTTGATAGCAGCTTCACAAGTCTTGCATCCATTGAACTTGTGAGTTTTTGGACAGTTTCTGCTTGAATTTGTTTGCAAGATTTCAGAATAGCCTCCCAGAGCTGCTGTTTGGATGTAAACTTCCTCCCACCCTCATAGATCTTTTGCTTGAGGATGCTCCAAAGGTTCTCAATAGGATTGAGGTCAGCGGAGGATGGAGGCCACACCATGACTTTCTCTCCTTGTATCCCCATAGCAGTCACTGATGCAGAGATATTCTTTGCAGCATGAGATGGTGCATTGTCATGCATGAAGATGATTTTATTACGGAAAGCATAGTTCTTCCTTCTGTACCAGGGAAGAAAGTGGTCAGTCATAAACTCCACATACTTTGCAGAGGTCATCTTTACACCTTGGGGGGCTCTAAAGGGGCCGACCCGCTCTGTTCCCATGATTCCATCCCAAAACATGACTCCACCACTGTCTTGCTGACGTCGCAGCCTTGTTGGAACAGGGTGGCCTTCCACCAACCATCCACTACTCTATCCATCTGGACCATCCAGGGTTGCACGGCACTCATCAGTGTTTGAAAATTAGTCTTCATGTATTTTTCTGCCCAATGCAGCCGTTTCTGCTTGTGAACATTGGTTAGTGGTGGCCGAATAGAAGATGTATGCACAGTTGCAAGACTCTGGAGGACTCTACACCTTGATGTCTGTGGGACTCCAGAGGCACCAGCAGCTTCAAATATCTGTTTGCTGCTATGTAATGGTATTTTAGCAGCTGCTCTCTTGATCCGATGCATGGATCTGGCAGAAATCTTCCTCAATGTGCCTTTATCTGCATGAACCCGTCTGTGCTCTGAATCAGCCACAAATCTCTTAATAGTGGGATGATCACGCTTAAGTTTTCGTGAAATATCTAATGTTTTCATGCCTCGTCCAAGGCATTGAACTATTTCACTCTTTTCGGCAGCAGAGAGATCCTTTTTCTTCCCCATATTGCTTGAAAATGGTGCTCTGCTTAATAATGTGGAACACCCTCCTTTAGTAGTTTTTCCTTAAATTGGGCTCACCGGCCAATCTAATTATCACAGGTGTCCGAGATTGTTTTCAGTGATCAAAAGAGCCCTGACACACAATGCCATCCATGAGTTAAACTGAAAAACAAAATATTTCATCTTTGTGACACTTAAATAGAATTTGCATAATAATTTGGAACGTGGTGTATATTATGAGAAACATTGCAGGTTAAAAATAAAACCTTAAGGGGGAGCTCATGAGCAGCGCAGGTGAATGGCTGCCTGAAAGCCTCGCTCCTTCACCGCCGGGCACATTGAGCCTCCATCTGCCTCCTGGGGAGCCCGTTCTGTCGCCCGCCCCCCCGCCCTCACCCCTTGCTGATTCTCCCGCCACCTATGGGGAAAAATCTACACTTTCTGCCCTCGCGGGATACCTCCGACAGCCCGGTGTGGCCCTCCGGTTCTCATCCTCCTTCATCTCAGCTGGGGCGTATATGGGAGAAAGTTGGTTGCCATAAACGCTCCCTCCTTAGTTATCCGGATCCTCCCGTTCCGATCCAGGTTGAGTTCAGTTGGATGGGTAAGATTTCTCACTTTTCAGATGGCTTGATCCACTGCCTTGACTCTCCGTGTTTCTGATGGGGCGGAGACCTTGACTGGCCCTTGTTGAGAGAACTTTTTGTATGTTTTTGCATGTTGCTTGTTTTAATTTTACATTTTGAAATATTCTTCTATGCAATACTGGTCTGTACTGGTGGAGATTCTCGTTCCCCGCTGGCTCCTCACAGTCCAATTTTGAGTTGAAATTTTAATTTTTTTTATTTAATTTTTTTTTGGGGAGGGGGTAGGCGGTATGGTTGTCAGCGTTGTGTCCTATCCCCTTGTCCTTTTTTTTGTCTTTTTTTTTCCGCTAATTTTATTGTCATACCAGGATTTTGGTTATGTGGATCCCCGGCTCCCGCCGGCTCCTTGTTTTTTTTTTTTGGGGGGGGGGGTTATTGTACCTCTTTATATATACCGGGGGGCTTCCTGGCTCATGGTCCCATGCCTTATATGATTGGTGCCAGCTTCCGATCCCGTGATCCGGGAATGCCTCATTTCTATTATGCTGATATGTCTGTGTACCTGTTTACATTTTCTCTATATATTATGGTGTCATATTATGCATTTATTAAGGTAATGTACTTGACGTTGTCTTTTTGCCTGTTATGTTCCCCCCCCCTTTTTTTTCTTTTTTCTTTCTTTTTTCCTCCTCCCTTCCCTTCCCCTTTTTTCCCATGAGCCCGGTGGTAGAGCCACCCCCTATGTGTGTCCTTTCAGTTGGGACGCAATTTTCACTGATTGTGGTTTTGTTACACTGACTTAAAGTGTACATTTTTTTCTTCTGTCTCTTTTTTCTTGTCTGTTTTTTCTTTCTCATTTCTCACGGATCC